AGTAGCGATCCGAATGTATTTTTTTTAGGAGATCCCCTGGCCGCCAAGAATTCAACGGGATTAAGTTTTGTTTGGTGGTAGTGGAACACGTGTTTTTCCTTCAATGCCCTACATTCAAATGGACGATAATTTACAGTAAACGTTCCAAATCTAACGCTATACGAGGGAAGTCAATGATCAATATCGACCCGACGACTCGGGGCGCACCGATATTAAACGTGTCGACTTCGATTTGCTCAAGGGGAATTTTAAGGGTTGTAATTTTGTGTTACGAATAGTTACTGTGACTGTTTCGACAATTACTTAGGTGATGTGTATTTCTTTTTTCCTTTCCTTTATTGCACCCATACAGTAATTGTATGATTGTGTTAACTGATTTGCCAAATTAACAGCATTCTACACATGCATTAGGTAGATGCGAGTGCAGCATGGGTATTGTCATTTACAGCTAATTAGTAATAACATACAGGTTTCTCTTTTGCATTTATGCCGTCATACCCTTAATTAAATGCACAGAGATACGGTAAAATTGCATTGTGTTTTTTCTACGTCAATATGAAGGTTTCCTAATTTATTGTATATATCTGGGTATAATATGTTATCTTAGGGATGATCTTCAAATCGCGGGTGCAGAATTAAAGATGTAATAAATTTTATAGCAATTCGTGTATGGCCCCATATTTTGAAACATCGACATACACATTGTTAATTTATAATTGAACTTCTTGCAACACATTTTTTTCTTGTACATAAATATGTTACTGTTTATTTACAGAGTGCTTCATCTGGGGGCGAGTGACGTACGCTAGGTCAAGATTGTTTCATATTGCACTTGGCATTGAGAATTAATTACTTTATACTAATACCACTACATGTTCCTTTGTTTTGTTGTAATGTGGTAATTAACATAACAATAAATCAAAATATGCATTCATGTTATTACAGACAACTAATTTTGCTATAAAGTTTAATTTTAATTTGTTGCCTGGTTTTTTTCTTGGTCGGTTCTTTTTTTCCCAGCCTATTTTATTATTTACCTTGATTCTACAACAAACGAAAATTTACATATTTTGAAAAAAATGTATAACAATTTTATGGGTATATGCCAATTGTCTTTGATGACAACAGTAATATTATAGGGGAAAATGGGATTGATAGAAGATAATGTTCTAGATGATAATGAACATACAGTAAATAGATCTCCAAACAAAGAAAATAGTAATATCAAAATTAATAAGTTTTTACCATCCGCCCAAACTCTTGAATGCAAAGGAAAGAAAGATATTAAGTTTAAACCCTTCGTAATATCTTCTAGTGGCTTCAAAAAGGTGATAGAAGAAAAGGAAAAATGAAGAAATAAGAAGAACTTGACAAAATAAAAAGAAAACAAGAAAGGATAGAAAAACAAACGAATAAAAAACGAAAAAACACGGTTTCAGATAAAAACAGAAAGCAAGAAGAAAACAAGGAAAACAGAATTGCCAAGAAGGAAATTGCAAACTAATGAAAAACAGCAACAGAAAGAAACCTATAGTTAAGGAATAGACCAAAAAAATGATGTAGAAACAGAAAAACTTACAGAGCAAGAAGAACTGGAGGCATTTGGAGAACAATCAGAAATACACGACCAATATTTCAAATTTGGAAATACATTTTTTAAATCTCCTTTCAACAATGTTATCACGAGTCCGGGGTAGTCAAATCTAATAATGCCCATGTTAGGAAATGGTTTCAAATACCGCTAAAAGGAAGCAACAAATTAGTTTCGCATTTTAGGGGAAATAACAGTATTGAAAAAGGGAATATGCTTCATCTGTATTAAATATATAAATAGTGTTAAAATCGGCATTAAGTGTAAAACATGTACTAGAAGTTACCATGTATTTTGTCTTAAAACAAAAATTAGCGTATTTTCCTAAAAGTGAAAATCGCTTTTGACTGCACTTTGACGTCCGTGCGTCTGTCCGTCACACGTACTCCTTCTAAACCACTGAACCGATTTTGGCGATAGAGAACTCATTTTAAAGGGCCTGGTCCGAGGATTCCGTGTATACCAATATTTTTTGGTTTTGCGCATGCGCAGTGTCAAAAAATTTGGTTTAACGCATGTGCGATGCTAACTTTTTTATTTATGAAGATATTTAAATGAAACTTTATATGTAAACACTACGAATATAAGTAAAATTAATGACATTTTCAAAATGTTTTGCGCATGCGCATTGCCAACTTTCTTATTATGAAGGCATTTAAATGAAATTTTATACATAGGCATTTGGCATAAAGACAAATCTAACACCAGTTGCAAAATTTGGTTTTGCGCATGCGCAATGCCAACTCCTTTATTTACTGAAGCATTTAAATGATATTTAATACATAGGAACGTGGAATACACGCAAATCTAACACCAGTTTTAAAATTTGGTTTTACGCATGCGCAATGGCGACTTTCTTATTTATGAAAGCAGTTAAACGAAATATCATATGTAGGCACCTTGAATGAAACTAAAACTAATACCGGTTTCAAAATTACTGTTAACGCATGCTGTATGTTTTATTTATGAAGGTATTCAATGAAATTTCTAATGTAGACAATGCGCAATGCTATTTACGAAAGCATTAAATAAAGTTTCATATGTAAACACTCCGAATAAAAGTAAAACTAATGCCCATTTCAAAATTTGCATGTATTTGTATACGCTCCACTATTTTTCATTAAACTGTATAGACTTCGACGATAGGTGGCTCATTTGAAAGAGAATGGGGTAAGGATCTCGTGCCTAGCGGTAATTTTTCCTGGTCCTAGGATTAATATTATTAGGAGGAAAATACGCTCGTCATTTATGTTTGCATAATGACTTTTTAAACTTGTTGTTATTTTTGTGTACCTACCTTACACCTAAGGCCCACATAGCATTCGATATCTTATGTATATACCTTTTAAATCCAAAATGTACAGGGAATATCGTGTCCATCTTATGTATATACTATTGTACATTCATTATGGACATATGTATGTTATGTCCAGTATGGATATTCCATGAATACCTATATATTTTGGATGTGATATGGATGTTTATACACACACACATTGTATGTATCGTTTATGTATATTAAAAGTACACTTGATCTATATCTTATACCTCCTCACGAGGATCTTCTATGTATTCGTTTTGGATTAGATACATGCGTTTCCTGTATTACCGACGGTACAAACGTTAGCGTCTGATTTTCTGTGAATTATGGCGGTTAAGATAGTAGTGCTATTTCAAATGCAGTTCATTTTTCTAAAATCAGGAGTGAAATGAATTTGTTTTTCTAATTTGGACAGTGAAAGTAAGGAATTTTAGTGTTTGAATTTTGTTTGTGTAAGACCTAAAGTTACAAATATGTGTTAGGGAGGTAAAGACTGGATGGGAATTACTAAGGGCATGAATGGCAGGTATGTTAGTAACCTAATGTATAATCTGTTATTAACTGACGCTATTATAATGTTGAACAAGAACGCGATCAATGTGACTCAAAGAGTACAGTGTTGAATAAAACAAAAAAAATTTGTTAAGCAAATTTTCCATTGTATACTAGGAGACTTAATACAAAGAACTTGATTCAGTGAAAATAATTTATTTATGTAGGTATAGATGCTAGGAAGCTTCTCGAATGTTAGAAGAATCTCTATAAAACATCCATTCTGAATGTATACTGCATACATGGAATATCCGATTGAACATCTGTGCATATTATAGGAATGTTCATGGAATATCCACTTGTCAGTATACCAACATACAAAGCATGTCTGATGATGCATATACATGAATATACGCAAGACATCCAAAACGTATATACTATGTATTATGTGAAGTCTGCAAAACTTATATCCCTAGCACATACATCGGATATTTGCGTCAGTCATACTTCTCCACATATGGATATACAAAATCCCACGTAGAATGTCCATGTTGTATGCAATGTATATAGGTCTGCTATGTGGGGGGTTACTTAAATAGTTCTACTTTTCAAAATTACAGTACCTAAAAAAACATCTACCTACCTACTATCTACCTAATAACCTAAGAAAACCTATTTTTCCTCGGTGCGCCCATTACTGGAAAAAGGTAAGTGCCAACAACTGGCCAAGGGTGCCTATAGCTGGAACTTTGCTGATTTTTTACTTGTTAATAAATATCTATTAAAAGATGGAGTATATCGGGATAGTGGTTATAGTTGTTAAAAGTCAAGCCTTTAAGGACTACAAAAACATACTTCTAATTAAAATATATACAACATAAAGGCTTCATAACCTTTCTAAAATGTAGGAAACCTCAGTTGCCAATAATTGGAAAATTTACCTTAATCGTAATCAATTTAGTTACAATTTTTGCCAAGTTTGACGTTGCCTTTACAGAGTCTAGGTGCATGCTTGGAATTACAAAAGCTTCCTTTGTAAAGCTTCTCCTTTAATTTAGTTTTGCCCCATTCTGACATATTTATGGGGTCCTACAAGTGCAACTTTTGGAAACTATTTCAGCTTCAGTGTTTTTTTGTACAATACGTACCAGTCTACATCTCTAATTTAGCACTATACTAATGTGGCAAAGATTATCAGAAAGAGTTCCCATCGTTTAATGTACAAAATCTTTAACAATAAGACGTAGTGTTTGAACTTCCGCCACCTACGTTGAAATTCTCCAACTTCGAAAATCAATCAAATAAACAGCTCGCTGATTTGTAAATGAAGGACAAATTTAGCGTTTGACGTTAAGGAAGTCACAAGGGATAGACTCATTAAATTACGAATAATGACGTTATGCGTAGACGCGCACCGAAATGTCGTTTTACTATATTGATTACGCAAACGGAACATTTGATTCGCTCAAGAATTTAATGAAGGATTTTGTGCGAACGTCGTTTGACTAACTACTAGATTTTTTTAGCTCCAAAAGAAAGTAAGCAGTTCCGCTTTGTACATAACAAAAATCGCTTTAATAGTTTGTAGTCACTGACCGTTTTATCCTGTAGAAGTCCAATGCGACAGTCCAGCCTTACTGTGGATCCAACCCTAGCAGTTATATTATACGGCTCTTGTCCTTCCTCAAAGAATGGGCCCCAACGTGAATCGGGCAGGTGATAATGAGGCACGGGTAAACCACGACCGAAACTGTGACGTACGGGTTCGGTTCCTAACGTTGAACGCTGCATTCCTCTTGTTGTATCCACAGCCACGCTAGAAATTGTAGCGCCCGGGGCGGCTAGGGCTGCGGACGAGGATCGGGTCAAGTTTTCTGACGCGATTCTGGGCTGTGGAGAAACTTCCCCCAGTAAAAACGTTGTCGTCTCGTTGTCTGCAACAACAAAAACGAAACAATTTTAATCTGTTTTTAATTCCTACAGACGCCTTATGCACTTTACACTCGGGGCAGTATAAATAATTTTACATAATAACCTTAATGTATTTTCTGACAGCTTATTCCGCAAACTCGGTCAACTCGATGGTTTAAGCAAATTGCTACAGCAAAAAGTGAAATTATTTCCTACTTTTCTTTCGCGGCGCAGACTTAGTTTATTTTTAACGTCGTCCTGCAAAACAAAGCTGCTCGATTACTTCCGAAATGTATTGAATATTGTATGTGGGAAAGAAAATACTCCAGTCTAGTCTTAATTTTTGCGTTATAAACAGATGTTGCCGTTGATCTCGTCAGAAACAAAAGGACCGGCAAAACTTTACATGTCTTTTCTTACTGTTTTACAAAAACCGTAAAACAATTGAATTTAATTCAGTCTGCTCAAATGTATACTTCCAGAAAGCACAATGTTCACTTAGTTTTGTTTGTTTTTTGGAAATTAATTTGGTAAATGGAGGTCTTTACTCATTTTGAATACTAGATCTTCAAAGAATACTTCCAAACTTTGTAATGATACCAAAATTACGAAAAAGTTTTTTGGAAGTCAATGAAACTTGTCTTTTCTTATCCAATTTTTATCGCGTGTATTAAAGGAGTGGTACGCAATTTCTTAATTTTAGTAATGAAGAAATAAAATCTGGTGGAAAGTCTTCTCCTGACCTTAAAGGGAAGAAGAACGCAGGCAATGGAAATCCTTGTGGCCGTTGAAGTTACAAAAAGTAACTGTTGATGACAGCTGTTGAAACATGTTCGTTATTTTTATATTGAGGTTCATTGGGGTTTTTGCGTTATTTTTTGTCAATAAGAAGAAAATCGACCTGAATACATTGCTATGCTTTCAGTTTTAAATTTTTCCTCAAATTGTACATGTTACCGCGCGGAAAACTGAAAGATTTAGTTATTTTATTTATCGCCCGCCTGCGTGCGGGGTTTTATTTCCAAACAAGCATTGTAATCTCTTCTTTCTTTCAGGGAATTTGTTCTAATTGTTTGATGTGTTTCGGAATGAATTTGTGTCAGTCACTTAATTATGTGTAATTAAGTTTTAATTTTAATTTGATTTGAGCTAGTCGGACAGGTGTCTTGTGGGCGGTGTAGTGACTGAACGCCACTGCACACAACAATATAGATGGTCAAAAAAAAAGGATCAGAAGAAGACGTCCTAGAATGGATGGCGTTAGAAGCGGAATGTCTGACAGGAAACTATTAGATTTGGATTGGAAGAGAATAGATTTTCGCCTGTGAAACCCAAAAATCAAGATCTGAGCACCTGAAACAGCCATCAATGCTAGCTAGGAGTATATAACATAGGACATCTTGCCTTTAGAATTCAGCAAGAAAGGAAATGGTCACAGAACGACCGGAAACAGGCGATTTCTAATAGAAGTTGTCGCAAATCGACCGGAAAAAGACTTTGGTCTATGGAATCCAACAAAATGTATAACCATTAAGATTTGACTACCAGAAACAAAAACAGAGACACGAATTCCAGTAGTATATAACGCTAATACCGCATTACTTTTTCTTTAGGATTGAGCACCAAAGAATGTTGTCTTCGATACACCGAAAAAGGGCGATCTCTAGTCAATTCCAGTACCTAGTACATAACGTAAAAACCATTACATGCCGTCAAAGTTGAGCAAGAAAGGAAGTTGTCGTAGGCCGACCGGTTAAACGACGATTTCTAATAGATTGGTGGCTGGTAGAATCCAAAACATTTATACAATTAAGATCTGAGCACTAGTAAGAAATCAATATGAAGAGTATACCGCTGAGCCTTTGAAATTGAGCAAAAGCAAAAGATAGAACCATCAAGATTTGCGCACCACACATAGAGATAGAGCCTTCAATTCCAAGAGTACATATCACTGTGTAACGTTGTTTTCTTAACAATTGATATTCCAGATTTTTACTCTAATGTAGGTCTGATATTCTTACGTAACCCCGTTTAGTTAAGATATATGTTATTCCTGTAGTAGGTTTGGTATTACCTTAGCTTTTTGGTTTGCCGCTAGAGGCCATCCATTCTATCCCTTCTTTAATTTGCTCTTGTATTACTTTCGTGCAGAGACGATTTTTCCTTCACAGTGATTGCGTGCAAATTTTTGTCGATGCGCCATTTACTTTCTATTTGACTTATGTCTATCTTATTACCATATTTCTTTAGAGTACTTTCTCTCTATTTATGATGTGCTGTTGCTGTGCTTCAATGAATACGTTTTGCGGATTTATATTTGCAAATAATTAGTGTGAAGTATGTACCGTTATTAATTACATTATCCTTCGTACGTATTTTTTAGGGCTTTAGCTTCTCTCAAAGTTCTCCTAAGTTCTCATCGTTTTCTCTTTCAGATTACTTTTCTGTTATTATCTACCTGTAAATTACGTACGCAGAACCTGTATGACATCGCATTTTTTACCTAGCGCGATTGACATTGGCGACGTCACGTGAGACATTACTGTTACCTAATTCGAAAATGTAACTTGGAGATTTCAATATTGTTCCTATTTAACTGCAATGGTAACGACACTTTTTGGAGATTATACCTCTTGAAAATGCCGCCGATATCTTTGATTTTACGTACATCACCTTTTGTCGTTACCGACGACTCATCACCCGATTTCCTCGACGATTACTATTGTTCCTCCCAAAAATCATCCTGTTAGTTCGAATTTGAAATTACCAAGACATAGTCCGAGACAGACATCTACGATCTTTAGTTACGGTAGTTGTGTCAGAATTTGTTCATACTATCTTATTGACACTTTTAATTAATTAGATCATTGTTGTAGTTATTTGTGCATTGTATAAAACAGATTTCTTGAGATAACGTCACGTTTATGCATTTATACACCGATTTGTACGGACAATGCGTGGTCGAGTCAAAATCTCGCTTTTGTTTAGTTAACGTGAATTGAATTATTGAGTATTGATTACGGTTTTTGTATATGAGTACCCGATCAGTGTCAAACGTCAGACATTGCTATCGTAATACTATTGTGCCGCGCTATTCACTATCCCTCTTGTTTATTTGTGTTATTATCTGTTACAGATAAGGCAGAGAAGCGCATTTCTGCGGTCAAAAGGCCGTTATAACCAGAGTATCTTTTTGTTTTGTTTTCGACAACTCCTTGAGTTAGTAAATTTGTTTAATAGTCATTCAAAAATTATAGGTCCATTGTTTTGTATGGAAGCCTGTTTGTATATCGACCCTGACTGCGAGTTGACCCCCCTTTTGGCTAAAAATTGATTTGAATTTGACATTTTCAGATCTAGATATTACAGTGCCCTATTTGTATTATTATGAGATCAGTTATGAGATCACCATCGATTGTGACAGTATTTCTTGTTCTACACTACCAATTATATAATTTCCTTAGCGTATCAAGGCCAGAACAAGGATCTCTTAGTCTGTCTTGTTTCCCCCTTTCGGTAGGTAGGCCATCAACTCGAGGAGTAATACCGTCTAGATTAATTACTATGCGGCACAATCAGCTATGTTGTAGCATATTTTAAGCACTAAAGTAGGCGACACTAGTGCCGCCTAGTAAAGATTTTTTGTCGCCCAGTCATAGGTAAGGATACAGGTGGCAAAAACTTTTCAGCTATCTTTCAAGAGTGTCCTAGTGCGGCGACTGGGGCTCCCAAAAATCTTACACTGGGGTGGAGCCCCCAGTATGGCACACCGATGTTGGGTTCAGTGCCGCCTAGTGGAAGTTATTTAAAATACGCTTTCTTGTTTTACGTGTACCTTATACATATTTCCTTGTAACTTTACTAAACGTAACGTGTTGATCCGTGTATGATTATCCATCTAAAGGTAATAGACAAATGCTTCTTAGGGAAATGCTTCCTGAGGTAATGGTCCCATGTTCCTAAAATCCTTGCTCAAGAAAGGTTATTACAAATACTTACAAAGTGAAGTATTATTATTCGGAGAAACATTGTAATCTCGCACGTCTACTTTTATGTTCAATTTTCAATTTTGTCAAATCCAATTATGGTTTAGTGATGGTGTAACCTTTACAATACCCATTCCGTAAAATGTATTTATGTACAAAAGACCTCCAACAAGAAGTGCAAAAGGGAAAAGAACAAAAGAAATTTCGCATGAACCAAGAAACGTAGATTTAGTGTAGGGATTTAATGAGTTTTCCGAAACGGTAATCGCGAAAATATCTTTACCTTTTCGATACTCCTTTATTTATAGTGACATCGGATAGGGGTTTAATCTACTTTGATATTTAACTTTGACGCTTCCTTAAATGAGGGTATTTTAGTTTTCGGTCAATACAAGCTACCCGTCACGGTCCCGCTCTTTTGGGGTTGTCTGAAGGGGGCATTGAGGAATTTAGATTTAACAGAGGCTCCTTCTTGCATTGAGTTTTAAATAGAGAACCACTACACCTTCAAATTAAGCATGCTGCAAAACCCGCTGATTCATAGATTTAATCCGGTCTTCCGATTTTAATTACCTCGCGAATAAATTCCCGATTTATTAGACGGCAATTAAGCAAAAGAGTAAATGAGTATATTCCAATTATTCCGGAATTCAATTACGTTAAATGTGTTTAGCGCTCCCCGCTATTTTCTACGGTCATACCCACTTTTATAATAAACTACCGTGGAGGTAATGGCATTAAGCGTTGCACCTGTAAGCTCACTAAGCTTTAATACTAGAACTTCGCACCTGAGACCTAATTCAACTTCATCGACCCGGTTTATCTTCTAAACCTAAACATCTGAAAAACAATTGTTCCTGTGTTGTAGTTTTCACTCGAAACCTGTGCCACGGTGCAGAGTGTCGTGAAAATGCACATTACCAAAAAATATTTTGACAATGTATGAGACGAAACGAAATTTAATGAAAATGAAGCTCAAAGGTTCTAAAGCTTGAGTTTTATTAACTTTCCCATTTAATTCACTTCTATATAAAGTT